ACAGTGAAAACTTTCAGAACAGTTGCCAGAGTGTCAAACAGCAACTGAAAGTAGATTTAAATTGCAAAATAATTTTGGACGTCAACATGAACGTAATTTTATAGTAAAACTTAACAACAGAACAAAAAAGCCTCTTCTTTATTGATCAGCAACCTGCTTGTTTGATGGCTTCTTTTGGCTCCGTAAAACATCTACTATGGCATCGAATAAATCAGATCGGTTACGGCAGAGATCAGGATATGTATGCATCAACAAGGTTACTATTGAAATTGCAAAGATTTTCACCGAGATTTTTATATGTGTTAAGGCCAACTGGACATGTGCGAGGAGCAGGTCGAAATGAGATGACATTGTTAGTGATGACACTTGAAATAATGATTGAAAAAGAGATTTCAGTTGCGCGTGAAAAGAGCCATCAGCCTTCTGTAAAAAATGATGCAAACAAATTCGTTATATGCAGATCTTCGAATTTTAGGTAATAACTGTCAACATAAACTTCGAGTTACAAAAAAAATTTGGGTATCTTTTATCTTTTCTAAAAAAAAAAAATACTATATATATATATGTCCTAAAACAGACGCAACATAGGTCACTATAACAAAATTCATATTATTTTAATAAAGGGAATTCCGCAAAAAAACTGGAATAAAAACGCCTTACACTATCGCAAATCAAACGGGCAACTGATGGAATTATGGTATGCAAATTTGAAGACAAGAGTTTCGGATTGGAAGTTATCAGCTGCTTAAGTCCAATAATGGCATCCCTACGGAAGTTGATATTATAATGGCCTAGCTGTACGCAAAGATCTTTTAAAGAGTGCCCTCGATATGAAACAACCGTTCCTGAATCTGATAACTGCTCGACTAATACCACCTAAATTAATATTGTCCATTGCTGATAACAAACACAAGTAGGAAAACATCTTTGACTTCTGTAAGTGGGACTGCCACTCACATAAAAAAAGAAATCAACAAAACCATTTTTTCAAGCTACAAGATTTGGAAACATCATAGACGTGTACGAGCTATTTTCCGGAAGT